ATAAATATTTAAATGCTTAAAAAAATGTTTTTATAGAAAGTAAATACTTAAGAAATAAGAAAAAATCTTTGGACTTTGCTTGTAGATATTCAGGAGGCAGAGAACAGGAGAATGGAGGTTGGAGACCAGCCAGGGCAAATAGTTCACAAGACCCTATCTCGAAAATACACAGCACAAAAAAGGGCTTAAGTGGCAGAGTGCCTGCTTAGCAAGAGTAAGGTCCTGAGTTCAAACTCTAGTACCACCAAAAAAAACCCAAAACAAAACAAAAACTTTGGAAATGAGAACAATACAGCCTAAAAGAAAAGACTTCTAATGCCCACAACTTTCACCTTTGAAGATTGAGTAAAAGTAGGTCAGAAAGCAAAAACCATGCACTTTAATATTCTATCTGTGAAGAAAAATATAAATAATGAAAGTAGGATTAATCTGATAAAAAAATTTCAAAGGTCATCAGTGTTTATATTTTAGCACTCATGATACATGCTTGTTATTTGTGCCGAATTCTGTCCAGAAATAAGTATAACCTATTTCAAGAGGGAAATTGGTTATGTGACAAAACTTATGTAACATTTTTCTAAGAATTGCAGTAATTGCAAATAATGATTAAGCTACAATTCTGTAAGTGTATCTTGGAACCTGAGCAATACAAGAATAGTGGTTTTTAAAAATGACAAAACAAACAAAAGAGCAGTTAAAAACGTTTCTCTGTCACATCACACAGCAAAATATTTTCTTAAAAGAAGCTTTTATACTCAGAAGACATGAAGAACCAAGGGACCATAAAGCAACTTTACTAATACAAATTAAGAGAAATCTAGATTAATTCAATATAATTTGATTAAAAAGCAGCTTTACTAATATAAATTAAGAGAAATCTAGAGTAATTCAATATAATCTGATTAAAAAGCTTTCTTAAAAGACTCAGAATACAGCACTTGTTCAGCACATGCAAGGCTCTGGATTCAATCCTTAGCACTACAAAAAACCTAACCAAACCAAACAAACAAAAACAAGGCCAACACATACAAGTCTCCCACAAATCATTTTCACAATAAATGTAACTTCAAAGAAAAGCTTCTGTGAGACCTCAAATAACTGAATAGTTATTTTGAAGGCATAAAACCAACAGAAATAAATTATCCATATTCCAAATAATTATCCAAGACTCTTTACGCCTACATGTTGCTTAAATTAATTTATGGTTTTAAAAAAGTTAAGTCAGGAACCTTTCACTATTTTACTTATTTGGTTTTGGGTGGTACTGGGTTTGAACTCAGGGCCTCACACTTGGGAGGGAGGCACTCTTACTATATGAGCCACACTACCAGCCCTTTTCTGTGATGGGTTTTTTCGAGATAGGGTCTCCTGAATTATTTGCCTGGCAGGGTTCCAATCATTGGATAATGTCATCCTGATCTATGCCTTGGGAGTAGCTAGGATTGCAGGCATAAGCCACCACTGTTTTAAATGTTAATTTCAAGGCCACAGAAGCTTGTGCTTTGGTGGTGTTTGATTTTTAAATGATGGGAGGCACTTTTTTGGGTTTCACTAAAATAAAAAACACTGGTCTGCTATATTCTATTCAGAACTATTTCAGACAAAGAAAATACTATCAGAAAACTTTCATTAACAACATACATAACATCTGGCGCCTGGTGCTATAAAGTACAAGAAAACATCAGTCTCTGTACATTAAATAGTTTTTACTTGGATAAGAAAATTCGGAAATTAAGAGGAAAAGAAGCAATCATTGGATAACGTTACATTTGAAAACCCAATAAAGGACCAAGGAAAGTTTTAAAAAGCATAGCAATAATTAAGGTGCTAAATTCTATTAAGAAAATAATGTGACAGATTCCTGCAATTAGGTGATATCTTTGTAAGAGGCTCTAGCATAAAACTAAACTGTAAGATTATAAAAATTTAACAGGGAACACAAAATGAATTTTGGCACAATGAATTTTGTTACAAATCATCCTAACTTTACAATCTCCATTCACTTTGATTAACAAAGCAGCTTTGTAACATATTACTAAATTTCAAGTACATAAAAGCATATAATTCAATAATTTTCTGTTAAGTCCAACATGCTTAGTTTATGGCAAAACTTTAAAGCACTAAAAAGCAAAGAAAAAGAATAACATCATCACTGTCATCCATCATGACAGACCATCATCTAGCTGCTCAGTAAGTATTTATATGTTGGAAGTTACATGTTGGAAAGCAACATACAATTGAAAAGAAGAAACTTGTGTTTTACCATTTAAATTTTTTGTCACTAGAATTTTCTCTTTTGTAAAGAGAAATTTACATCCTTGTACCAGCAGTATCAAACAGAAACTTTTGTAACAATGGAAATGTTCTATGTCTATGCTGTCCAGTATAGTAACCACTAGCCACATGTGGCTAATGAATACTTGAAATGCAACTAGCTCAGCTGAGAAATTAAAATTTTAATTTAATTTGAATATAAATAATGCTGTGGCTAGTGTTTATCCTACTGGATAGCACAGCTCAATACTGCCCTTTGAATCGGTCATTCTGTACGGCCACCATGTGCATAATTTCAAATTCTTCTTTGAAATCTCTTCTATAAGACTCAACAGTGTAACAGTAGCATCATCTTAACATCAATTTTGTAGACAGCGTCAAAAACAAATCTAGTATTAAGATTAATATCTTGTCTTCCTTGTTTAACAAAAGCAAATGCATCTCTCTTGGAGATTCCAACATCTCCTCCAGTTTTTTTGTTCCCATCAATAAATTCTCCAGTCCCAGGAGCAAAAAGTATTATCCCTGTATTACCATTAATATCCAATACTAAATATCTAAATAATTTGTCAAAAGTCTGAAGATAAAGTTTGTTCTAATATCTTGTCTTACTCATATGGGTTATTCTGGAGTACATGCAGCCTGCTTTCCATAACAAGAGAATATAGACCAAAAATCAACTGAGGCAAAATTCCTTGCACCTCGTTTCATAGCTTAGATTCAATTCTCGCATTTTTCTTGCTCTGCAACCAACACATGGAGATGAAAGGATCCTGAGGTTCCAAGTCAGGATTAGCAGTGGTGGGCTGAGAGGCCTGTACTCAGCGGCCATGCTGCTGAAGTCTCCTTACCACAGTCTTTCCGCAGCCCTTAGGCTGCCAAGACTCTAGCATAAATAAGCATAAGCCCCATGAGTCTGGTAATTAAGAAAAAATTATGTATATAAAAACTAACACACACTTGTTACAAAATTCAATAATACAAAAGGTGTAATAAAAAATAAATCTTGCCAGGTGCAGGTGGCTCACACCTGTAATCCTAGCTACTTGGGAGGCTGAGATCAGGAAGGATCGAGGTTTAAGGTCAGCTGGGGCAAACAGTTCATGAGACCTCATCTCCAAAATAACCAGAGCAAAATGGACTGGAGGTGTGGCTCATGTGGTAGAGCATGAAGTGCTGAACCCTTGGTTCAAACACCAGATCCACCAAAAAAAACCAGAATCTCCAAGCTGGGCATGATGGTGCAAGCTTACAATCCAGCATTAGGAAGGCTGAGGCAAGAGGATTAAGAGTTTGAGGTCAGCCTCAGCTATATAGCCAGTTTGAGGCCAGCCTGGGTTATACAGAGAGACTCTGTCTCAAAGTAAAATAACTTAAAATTAAAAAAAAAAAAACTCCCTTTCGGGGGGGAAGTGGGATAAAGAAGAAAGATGTAGGGGGTGACTGTAAGATACATAGTAAGCACTTTTGTAAATGTCACATTGGACCCCCGCTACAACTATAAGCCAATTAAATAAAAAATATCCCTTTCATCATTGTTGCTCTGCTTTTACCATCCAAGGCAAATGTTGCCAGTTTCTTGTCTAGCCTCTGCTCTCTTAAATGATTTACTAGTTCTGCAATTCTCCCCTTGAATATTAAATTCAATACAAACTTAAAACAAAAAAAACCCCACATTTTACTGAACATTTACTGAATTATTTCACAAGTACTCAAGTGTTACCATATAAAATATCTTTGATTGTCAGATTATGTAGAATTTAGTATACAATGTTGTATTCTTGACTCCACACTAAGCTCCACTGGGCAGGAACCATAGCACTGTGTTGCATAAAAGAAAGTATACCATAGGAGAACTCCTCAGAAAACCTGGGTTTTAGGCCTGCCATTTACTAGCTATGTGACCTGACCTTTCTTTCCAAATCTGTATTTGGAAATATTAACTCACCTTTGCCTGTTTTACTGGGTTAAAAGGACACACACAAAACAACACATAGAATGAACACTACTTAAGGTACAAAATGCTATGTAATGCTATGTAAATTTAAGGTCATTATTATTCATTTGTACCTCCACAGCAAACAGTATAATGCTAATCGATGCATAATAAATATGCAATTGAACAAATATAGGCATACTTCCTATTGTGCAAATTAAATTCTATATCATAGTCACAAAATTTATTTTTGTGTCAAGAGAACATCTTTCTTTTTGAGAGTCTTTTGGAGAAAGACCTCAAAGAAGATCTTACCCATGATGAAAGGATGTAAGTTGTTTAACTGGGTTCTTTTACACAATTTTTATTTTATATTTTTCTCTTTTATTGAGGAAAAATTGTTTCTAGTCAGAAGGGCAAATGTTCCTATCAAATCAAATATTATTGAAACAAAAACTGTTTAGCAAAGTTAACAGTTTTGTCACAGGAAACAAGAATTTAGGAAGGCTCTAAAATAAAAAACGGTCAGAGAAATAGTTTGTGGTATAAGAAACCATTCAGGTAATACTGAAGATTAAGTAAAGCCAGCAGTCAAACAGGAATAAAGGAAGAGTGAGAAAAAATAATACTCTTGATCCCGTTAGAATAGATGACAGAATTCAAAAAGAAAAAAAACACAGAAAGGATTAAGTAAACAGAATGGTTATAAACATCCAAATCAGAGGCAGCAATCGGCTCAGTGTAGGGAAAGATCCTAACTTTAGTGGCTTTTATTGCAGGTTTTCCTTACCTCTTCTGCTGTACTAACATGTCGTCTCTGAGTTTTCTTAGGGCTTAAAAGGCTTCGACGACAGGAACCACTCCAAGATGGACTTGGAACAGGCTTAATAGGAAAAGATTTTTCATATGCTGATACATGGCAGTGATGGTTTGATTTTCCCGTAAAAGTGTTTGATAATCCACTAAAAAAGTTTATAAGAAAGATAAAAAATTAAGATAAATCTAATCTAGTAATAATTTTCACTTTCATGAAATAACAGAAACGAGCAAATTAGAATGAAAGGTTTACCTATTACTTTGGGAGCTACACTAGATACATGGTATGACACATGGGATTGTGTCATCAGGTTCTGCTACTTAAATGGTCTTATATTTCCAAATAATATAATTATAACTTAACATACTGTTTCTTTGATCCACAATCTAGAATTTCCTTGAACAGGAACCAGATAACAGTGTGGTATGACACAAAGCATATCTGATAAGACTTCTTCAGAAAACCTGGGTTGTAGGAATGTTAAACATGCATGTACATATTCTATTACTCTCCACAGCTTTGTCCCTCAAACCCTTTAGAGGGAATTAAATATGTAAAGATGAATAAAGATGACACCTTACAATTAAATTTTTAAATGATTTTTAAATTTTCCTGAAAGACCAACAGAGGGCTCTCCTCCATTAAAAACAGCCAGAAGACTTTCTATTAGGCTATATCATTCTCTGTGAATTCTCCTTTTGGCCTCACTATTCTCCTCTGAAAAATTTTGTCTTTGTTTCTTTATACTGTTTGTGCCCTATCTAATGGGAAAAACTGAAAAGAAAATATTTTTGAACTCAAAAACTCAAGTCTTATCTCTAAGACAATAATTTTAAGTTTTTGTATGTGATCTTTTTTATCTACCATTACCCAAGTTTGAGGTACTTACTCTTGCCATCATGAATTTTTCTTTTTTTCCTGCTGAGGACTCAAAATAGAGCCACACAGCTGACTAAGCTTAATTCAGTGAGATCAGCTCTTCAAATAACTACACGGGCTCTGAATCCAAGTGAACTGACTAGATCTAAAGAAAATCAAAAAGTACATAAACTCTCTTCTTTAACTTTACAAATTCTAGTGTTTTTTTATGTGTGTTAGCGTGCTGAAAGGAGCAAGGACTCAGAATTTTAGGAAAAGGCTTATTTTCTTAGGCTGGATGGATGCAGCTAGGCAAAGAGGGCAAGGGCAATATAATTGTTCAGAAAAGCTACAATGGATTTCCCACAGTGATTTTGTATTTGTGCTTCCTAGAGTGTGCATGTATGTATTTTTAGCATAAAATATCCTTTTTTCTAAAGAAACAGTATGACAATATCTTGCAATGCCAAAAAATAGTGTGTTTGGTACCTTGCAATACTGAAAATTAAGTTGGGTCAAACAGAGACAAAGCCGAGCTTGAAAGAACTCCCACTGACCAAAGTTGTGAGAATGTGAGCATTAAGAGAATAATAATTGTAGTGAATTAAAGCACACTGAATTTATAACAACAAAGAGTAAAAAATTAATTTAAATTACACGAAGTGGTTATATATTTTAAAAAACCACAAAAATGGTTAACGAAAAAAAAAATCTCAACATCTATTCCTGCCTTTCCCAATAGGTAACATATTTCAGGATAACCAAACAGCCCCAGGTAATCAAAAACGCCATGATGGAGGGGATGAATTCATCTATGATGTATTGTAAGAACTCTGGTAAATGTCATATGTATCCTCAGTACAATAACACATAAATAAATATATATAAATACACACACACACACACACACACTTTAAAAAATCATAGTGCCCATGAAGAAGTAAAGAAATGAGGCCAGGCACAGTGGCTCACACATATAACCCCAGGTACTTGGGAGGTAGAGATAAGGACTGTGGTTCAAGATCAGCATGGGCAAAAAGTTCAAGAGAACCTATCTCAACCAATAAAGCTGGGGACGGTAGCTGTCATCCTAGCTACGTGGGAGGCATTAAAAAAAAAAAAAAAAAGTTGACATGGGGAAGCACACCTATAATCTAAGATATTAGGGAAGCAGAGGCAGGAGGATTGAGAGCTCAAGGCTAGCATAGGCAAAAGTTAGTGAGACTCTATCTTAAAAACAAAATACAAACAAAAGGGCTGGAGACATGGCTCAACTGGCAGAGTACCCGCCTAGCATCCATGAGTCCCTGGGTTCAATTTCCAGTATCACAAAAAAGAAATGCTAAAATCAGAAAAAAAATCCTACTTCATTAATTCTAATAAAATTATTATCAAGTAAGGACTCTCAATTGATACTAGTAACTACTAGGTTTATAGCTGATGTGAAACTGGTTGTTCATATAATGCCAAAGTAACATCATTCAGGTTATATTCTAGTCACAAGGGAAAACCTTAAATTTATAATTAGGAATCAGACTGTTGTCTCCCTAATTCAGTGTCAATCCAGAATCTCTAAAGATGGAAGACATATATCATCTTTTCTTCAAGTGAAAATGTAGCTTCCAAAAAAACATAGAGAACAGATGACAAAACAATGGTACCATGAAGTAGCAACCTTTCAAATCCAAAAGGCTGATTTGAAACATTATGTTGAAAAAAGTCATTATTTAAAAAAAAAAAAAAAAAAAAAAAAAAGCAGCTGTTCTATACTGTAAAAGACTTAGGGGAAACAACTGACTACCATATGCAATCATACTAGTTTGGAAAAACTAGGTGTAAAGGATAGTTTCGGGTTAACTGAGGAAATTTAATTATAATATAGTTAGTGTATAAGACATTAGGTTGGAAAGGGGGAAATGACTGACTTAAAAAGCAGATTTCAAAAGAGTATGTACTGTACGAACTCATTTTTTAAAACAAATATATGAAAAGTCAGAGAAAATTATTTGGAAGTATAAGATTTTATAAGCTCTCAAGTGGATAGGAATGTGATATTTTTGCTTATCTATATTTTCTAATTTTTTTTACTAAGCATATGCATTGTTTCTAAAATAACTATTTAAAAAATAACAGTGTGGCATCATTGCTACTGTTGAATAATGCATGTAAAAATCTTTAATGAAGATAAAAATCATGTATTTCATAGTATGCATAGCATATGTATCATTCTATATATGGGAATGAGGGAAACAAACATAGGAAAAGGTTTAGAAGGAAACACCAATGGAAGAGGAATGAGATGGTGGGTAGTTCAAGGAGTCTTCAGCTTTATTTATAATGTTATGATTTCTACAATGTAAATGTATTAATGAGTTCTTACAAATTAAAAATGGTAAAAATGATCCCTGAGAACACTGACACCTGTTCCCAGAGATTATGTGCTAATAATAATCATAAAGTAAAATAAAAGCCATTTTGTTGAGCCATTCCAACTAACACCAGAAAGCATTGGCTAAACAGGAAATTAAATGATCTCATATTCCTCAAATACATCACCAGAGAATTTAAGAAATCATAAGAATACTTTATAAGCATAATAAAGTACCTGAGTCATCTGCCTTATTAACCAGAATAAGTTTGGTAAGTGGACAGATGGGTTTGTGAACTAGGGTAAAGGTCTCTCTGATTATTTTCTAACAGATAGAAGTGGCTTAAGTCTAATTGACTAATAAATGAAGTGTGGAGCTGCTTTAATGTAAGGTCTGCTCACGTGAAAGTCTGTAAAATGTGCTGGCTTTCTTCTACTCAAGTTGCAGAGATTGATCTTCACTTTAAAATTCATACTACCAACCATATCTTAAAGAGTCCCAATATACTCATAACCACTCATAATCATAATTTTGATTTTCCTCAAAATTCTCTTTTCTAATGATAAAATTTGGCTATCACCAAAATTCAGCACCAACGAGAGTTTAAAATGGATATATATGGATCTTTATGGTTTAGGGTCTAAAAATGGTACTACTTACTTAAAATGCAATTATAACAACTATCTGATAGCCATTTTTTCTTGTGTCTGAGGAAGGACTCTCGAACTAACCTTGAGGTCTTTCGGGTTTCAAGGTAAAGACTCCGGCTGTTTCTTGATTTTTGTAAAGTTGAGCTTGATGTTGGAGTGGAATTTCTCCACTGCCCATTTGCACTCTGACCAAAGGTTCTTAAGTCATCTGAGCCAAGAAAACTGTCTGAGGAAGGGTTATCTAAAAAAGTAAAAAATAAAAGTTTGAATAAATTAAACATGACTACAGCTGGTTCTCTTTATGACTGCAACCATGTCCATCATTGTATTCCAAAGTAATGTGGCATATCACCATGTCTCTCATGGAAGAAAAGATCCCAGTCTCAACTGCCAGTAAAGTCTTCAGTAAGGGAACTTCTACAAACTATAATTGATTCAGCCATACTAACCTGAAAATTGGTGAAGGAGCTGAATCCTGCCACAGCCATGTGCCTTATCTGCATCAATGTGACTCCGTGGTGTCCACCAAAAGTCAACATTTTACCCCAACTATATCTTGCAAGCACTCCCAGGCCTGGGCCTGAAAGAAGGTAGGCCAGACCAGTAAGAAAGCAGGTGGAGGGCCAAGGAGAATTGTAATTCAAATGAACAACAATTATTGCTTAATAAGCAGCTGATGTCCCTTTCTTCTTTTTAGTTACCATGTTCCAGACTCAGAGATTCTCTCAAAGAGCACAGATAACCTAATCGCTGCTTATACTGGCCGGCTCATGGCAGGAATGACCCATATTACATTTGGTCCTGGTATGATAACCTTCAGTAACTTAAAGCCATAATCATAAGACATATCAGTACTCCAAAACTTAATAATGCAATCAGACTGAGGATTATTTGTTACATGGATTTAATGACTTCTGGGTTATAAAATGAGGTGACAAAAACCTCTTGAAGTTTCAGCTAGGAGTGGTAGAATTTCTATAGCCGCTTTTATCAGCAGGATTGAGTAATTTAAAACAGCTCCTTTAAAATAACTTCAGACATTGTTATGGAACTCTGAGGAGCTGCTGTGAAAAAAACAAGAATGACAATTCTATATTTCCAGAACTTTTGTCTAATGCTGACATTCTGAAGATCCCTTTACAAAGAATATTACCTAGAACTTTCCACAATCGTGTATAATTATGCTATTTAAAATAGTGTATCTTCTAAATCCAAAAAAGATAGCCTTCAACTAAAATTTTTGTGTTTTCACAATATAATCAAGAAATCAGGATTTAGGATAAAATAAGAGGGGGAAAACAAAACAGGATGGTATTAGTATCCATTAATTCTGCAGTGCATGAACTTATTCTTACAATTAAAATAAGTTAAATTTACTTTCAAGATGAATTATAACTTTTTTCCTTTGTAATAAGTATGCTTAACATCTACAACTATTACTTTAAGACAAAGATACGATACTACTGAAAATGAATCTCAGTAAACCCCAGAAAACTACTATCTTTAAATGCAAAGTACTAATAGTAGATATTTTTGTCTCTCACACCTTTTGGCTAAAATTTGATGAGGGAATGATATAACTAAAGATGTCTATTTGAGGAGGAAGTCTGCCAAAAATGCAAATCACTTGACAAATATGAAATTTGAGACCAAAGACAAGCCAGAATAGCCATCTCAAAAGGCATTAGGCAGAGGCTTCAGCTTTAAAATCCAAGAGAAAAGCACAGGATCAGGCAGTCTGTTTAACTAAAACAAGTGGTTCCATCACCATTCAATGAGATCAGTGGATAGTATGTTCTATTATTAATAGAGCCAAGCAAAGCTAAAGAGGAACCAACAGGAGGCTGCAGACACTCTTTTTAAGGTAAAGATTTAACCTCATATTGCGAATGCCAGAAATATGATCATTTATTATGTGCACATACATACACACAAAACTAGAAGGAAATACACTGAAAATTTAATTGTGGTTGTGTTCTAATGGCAGAATAATGGTATTTTCCTACAAATTTTCTTCAGGGACAAACAATACTTTTTCGTGGGAATAATAAAATAAACTCTATATTTAAAAAGAGTGTGTCAGGTAACCACTTACTATGAAAGTAACCATCAATTACTCCTGTTAACTTTAGAACTTATTTACTATAATAACAGGATACTTTCAATAATCTAACTTACTAAATGCTAGTTTGGTAACCTAATTTAACATATTTTCCAAAATAAGGTATTGATGATGATTCTAAGCATTACCAAATTCTTTTTTTTTTTTTAATGGATGCTCCAATGGCTTTACTGACTCCCTCTTTCTAGGGGGTAGCAGCTAATACTTCTTAGCTGGAGAGCTAGAAGAGAAGCCAAGAGGCTATAGTCTCAGTATCCTATATATAGAGAGTATCCTACATCCTTGGGACCCTCCTCCCATCCACAGTAATCATGGGCACAATATATTCATTTTTTTTATCTTAATCTTTTTTTTTGTTTATAGAGTTAAAAAATGCTTTATTTTCTCTGTGGTCTTCATGTATCTGAATATTTTGAAACTGACCACTGATAAATTATTAAAGTGAAACAATGTTGCACTTTGTTTTCTAAAATTTTTTTTTAAATTGGTCTCAGGCTTTTGCTGGGCTAGCTTTAAATCACAGTCCTCTTACCTCTACCTCCCAAGAGGCTGGGGTTGCAGGCCTGCACCACAACACCCAGCTTAATAGTCTAATCTTCAGGGAATTTAAGAAGCACATTTTTATAAGGTTTGATCTAGAGAGACAGAGCCAATAAAGCAATAAATGAGAAGTTTGGACTTTCCTGCTCATTTGTACCTTGGTGGAGGAGAGATGGTACAATAAGACAGGAAATAACCATCAGTAGTGCCAGGATCAGAAAACTAAGGCAGGTGAACTGGGGATCCATGTGTAGCCTCATTAAGGAGTTAGGCTCAAGATGACTGACCACAGAAATCAATGTGAGGATTATTAGATAAGACTATACCCAAAGGAGACAGTAGAGACAAAATTCTACAGAACTTGCAATGAATTAGAATGGGTGTAGCAAAGGAAAGAAGTTTTTAAAACGTAGTTTAGTTTTCGTTTTGCTTTTTAAAAAAAATTTTGGCATTAAGAGATCAAACCTAGGGCCTTCCTTGTGCATGCTAGGCCCTCTACCTCTGAGCTATATTCCTGACCCCTAAGTAGTTTTTCGTTAAAGACTTTATTATAAGAAAAATGTAAATAGACTCCTAGCATTCATAGATTTAAGATTCTGATTATTAGGGAGCAACCTTAGAAGTCTGTGATAGACCATAAGCTTGTTTAATTAGGGACTAAATGAAATTTGGTAGAGGAACAAGTCTGATTCTTCTGCTTCAAGCTGTAAATAGTTTGGAGAATGAGTCTAACAGATTGTTCCACCTTCCCAATTCAGTATGATTTTACTATTCATTGTTATTTTTTCCCTATTTATTGTCATGTATACAATATCTATTATGAAGTTTTTTTCTTTCCTAAAAATTTTCTAACCTCAAGTGAGAAGCAAACTTTAATGTAAAATTTCTGACATGGAGATCAACTCATGGTATGAAGAAAACAATAGTGTAACAGTAGAAAGCCAGGAATCTGGTCAAATATTGTGACAGTCAAGAACATGAGAATTTGAGGTGCTCACAGATATATTCCTTGTGAACCATTCAGAGTCTACTGAAATTGTTAAGTAAAAATATGTTTACACAAATAAGTCATGTTATTAATAATAGCTGGAAATGGCAAAAATGAAGTAGACCTAAACGATACGAAAACTAATAAGCAAACAAATGCATAGGCCCATTGTCCCAAATCACAAACCCCTGGAGGGTCCACTGTATTTCTGAATCAAAATTTTTGGAATTTTGGAAAGACAAATTGTTATCCTATAAATAAGCACTGATATATCTGCAGCAAAATGTGCAAATAGAGATAAGACAAAATATATAAACCACTACATGTTAATTCATGTAGGCTTCACCAAGGAATGAATTCAGGTCAAGTCAGGTCAGGTTTTGATGTCAAATTTACAAAATTTTGGTTTCTAGAGCTTTTTGGAAATTGGCATTATACTGAGGGATTGTGGATACGCATGTCAATTCCATGAGTTAGAAATCAACAGAAAACAATAAACATGAGAAAGAACATGAGAATGATGGAAAACTAAAAATAAACTGAGTTAAAAAAGATTTTATGTGTCAAATCATACAATGTGTACCATGAATACACACAGATTAAAAATCAGAAAAGGCCTAAGGCAGTTGAGTTAAGTAAGAACTGAGTTATAGTCAGGGGATTCTGAGTGTAATTTTCTACACAACTGCTTATTTTTAAGTAATTATTTTAAGCCTAAAGCAAAGATTCTATCCAACTATAAACTGGCATATGAAATTACAAGAAAACACAGCTTATATTAATATTATTTTTGACAGTACTGAAGCTTGAATTCAGGGCCTCATGCACAATTATATTAAAATGGAAATATTAATAATAAAATTTCATTAAACACTCAACTGTCTTTTCTTGAGGATTAATGATGAGCTATCAAGCAGATTTCAGGCTTTCTGATCATTAAAAAGGCTTTTTAAATAATAATGATAGTAGAGTTACTTTCTGAGTTAGTGGACTTTACTATAAAAATGATGCACATACTATTTGGAAGCCACTATCCACCCCAAGAGAGGAAATCCAGTGCCAGGGTAGATAAAGTACCACCCACCTAAATCATACTTAAATATAAAATAAATCTAAAAGAGCATCATACTAACGTCTTTTTAGGGGAGGAGATCTCATCTTGCTGACAAAGAATCCTGAGAAAGCCAAATAACAATAATTATTATTTGCATTTCATATTTATCATCTCAGTTTATCCTTATAAAAATCTCATTTAGGCAAGTTCAATGGTATGCCTAGTATTCCCATATTTGTGGCAAAATGAATTTGAAGCATGAAGATTAAAAAAAAAAGTGGGAAGGCCACGGTAATCTTCCTGAATCATATTGCCATAAAGTTAACTAACAAAATTCTTAGTTTCCCAAGGCAGAGGCAGAAAACTGTTGGAAGCCTAAACCTTAGGAAGGGAACAGATGACAATAAGGCAGGCCAGGTACAGTAATAGCTAGAGAATGCTGACTTCTATCATGGATTACAAGCTCAATAGGTAAGCCCTTGAATATGCAAGCATATGGCTGTGGCAGGTGCTAGATAGAAACATGTAGTTAACATTTCCTGCCCTGACAGAGGGCTTAAGTAGAAATAAATTTTCAGGTTTCACTGTCTCAAATAGAATGGAAATAAACTCTGTAGTTTAAATTAGTATAAAACAATAGTCTTTACATAACACATACATATCAAAAATAAATCAAAAACATAAACAATTGCTTTTCACAATGGCATAATGGATAAGTAGAACAGATGCCAAAAAACTTTCCCACTAAAAATTAACATTTGGTTGAAACTAAACATATGAAGTAGCAACTATACGCAAACACATAAAAAGCTTATTAAAATGGTATTTTAATGGAAAAAATGCCATTTTTCTCTTTTTACAACTTCTTACAGGACCATATCATTTTACTCTTGACGATGTTTTCACCTTTTTTTTTTTTTAGTGGTGCTAGGGACTGAACCCAGAGCTTTGCACATGCTAGACAAGTGCTCTACCACTAAGAGCTACACCTCTAGCCACAATGATGATTTTATTTTTAGAGACAGTAAACACAATAGATTTGCCAGGAAGAAATCTGAAAGGTATAGTGCCTTGACTACAAGGAATGTGTCATACCTGAGTAATAATTTGGACTATAAGCTGCACTTCTTGTGGAACATGTAAAAGATCGGTCCAAATTTCCTTGCCTGGAAGGTAAAATCTAAACAAAACAGAAGATTTTTTTTAAATCATATTTTTGGCACTAGAAGAGAATAAAAAGTTATATAAATTAAGAAAAACAATACTAGACAGGACTGTAGCACATTTCACAACTCAATACAATTATACAACGTTTACATGCATACTGTATTACAGATAAATTATATACTAATAAGGAAATCAGCCAATTTGATATAATTCAGATTTAAAGGGGGGGAGAATGGGTAAAATTATCTGCCAAACAACTTAATTCAAAGAATTTTCATTACAAGATAAATATGCATTTAGTATATCCTATCTCAAAGCCAGCTGTGACATGTATTACAGAGGATGAGAAAATCAACTTGGTTTTAAATCTTTTGAAAACTTTACAGAGATAATTCTGAATCAAGGGTAGTATTACACCCATAGTACAAACCTGAAATGTGTAAATGTATATTTACTACCTAAATGATTATAGAGTGAGGGTGCTACAGGTATTCAGTGACCACTTTTATGCTTAAGCAGATTCAGCAGCAAAGAAGTGTCTTATTCAAATTACTAATGTCTTTCTTACTGAGAAAGACTGCTTTTTTAATAGTGTTCTGCATACTTAAAGGTACATATAAATCAGCTGATGTTTTTAAACTAGATTTAAGGACTGATGCTTGAGATTCTGCATTTCTACAAAGCTGCCAAATAATACTGATGCTGCTGGTCTTGGGCCAGACCTTGAGAAACTAAGCTTCATATTACAGACAAATCTCACCTCTCCAAACTTAATGCTTATAATTTTAAGATGTTAGTTTAAAAGAACACTGACCTACTTATTGATTGTTATAATATTCAGAGGAAAGATGAAGTTTTCTAAAAGGTACTGTTCTCAAATAATTCATACAGAGCCTGTTTTGTCTTTAATGCACCTGGACAAATTCCAAAACACATACTTGTATTGTTTTAGTGTGGCATTAAACCACAACAGATGAAAACTTACAATGATCAAAACAACTAATTAACTAATTAAAGGAAGAAAATTATTCCTAACCTGCTGGTCAGAAAGTGAAAGGTGGTCCTCTGGAAAACCTGATGTGGGCAGGAGGTGGGTTTTGAAGATGGAGTTGTGGTTCACTAAAGTTACGTCTCCAGCATCCATCCTCACCCTATCAGCAATATCATCTAAAGAAAGAGTCCAGGTTAGTTCAAATCCCATAATTCTGCCAAAACTTTTTTCCTATGAACCATCCTTTATAGAAATGATTTCAAAAGAACAACTTTACAGTCAAATAAAACTCCTCCTTCACAGCTAACCACTGGCAGGAAATCTCAAACTGTTATTGCCAAAAGGGGACCATATGCAGAAATTGGCTCATCTGGAACTGACTAAGATCATCCACCAACAGCTCAAAATTTGTACAAGAATAAAAACCTGACTTAAAGTTTTAAAAATAATGAAATTTCTTCAAAAGAAAACCTTTTAATGTTTTAATTATAAGAAATGTAATATAAAAAATTGGAGCTAAGCATGGTAGTATATGACTGTAATCCCCACATTTGGGAGGCTAAGGCAAGAAAATATAGAGTTAAAGGCCAGCTTGGACCACATAGCTAGATCCTATCTCAAAAAACCAAACCAAACCAAAAATTGGGAAGTCAGGTACAGAGCATGTTCCACAAGTTCCAGTTACCTGGGAGGCAGAGGAAAATAAAAAACAAGCCCAGGAGTTCCAAATCAACCTGGACAACATAGCAAGACCCAATTCTTGCTAAACTGGGGAAAGGGGTTCACCATTCAGAAACACTGTTCATACTGCTTGATTTCCTGCCTGAACTCAAAAGGCTCTTTAAAAATTAATCCACCTGAAAATTTTTTCTGTGAAAAGTATAACTTACTCATACGGCTCTTAACAGGTATCAGTTCAATTACTGTAATACTGTAGAAGAATTTTACTTTAGAAATTTTTGAGACCTTTGTTACTATAAAAAGAAAAGTTAAAACAGGAATAAATGAGAGTTAAAGGAACTCAACTGACTAACACTGATAGCAGCAATAAGAAAAAAAGTAAACAAATAACCAGGGGAAGAAGAGGAGACCAGGGGAGAATAATCAAAAGGAAAACACAGAAAGCAGAGAAAAGTCTAATGGGAATTTAAAAGAAACATAAGTAATGTTAATAAGAGCTTACTGGACAGATATTTTCAACTTATTCCTAAATTGGCTACTATTCCTTACATTACACTGATCCTCTTTATAGATATAAAGTACAATGAATGAATCAGTGGAAAATATACCATCACAATGAAGTCTCAATATCACTGGATTTAAATGAAATTATTTTCCTTATTCAAATTACTTATCATAGAGAAAGCAGTGTAACAGCACTAAAGAATAGGACTTTGAAATCAGAATAGGGACTTTGGAATCCTGGCTCTGCTGGGTATAGCACGTGCATTTCTTAACCTATGTCTTACTCTTCTTGTTGGTGTGGTAGGGATAATGATAGTATCTACTTTGTAGGTACTATTAGGTATCCTTGTAAAGTGGCCGAAGTATTAAATGGATTAATATATGTCAAGTAGTTAGAATAAGTACCCAGTAAGGATAGCAAATGTTTACTAGTACTGCTATTTTTTTCAATACAATGAATGAGAAAAATGCTCCTAAATGATTCTGTAAACAATGTCTTAATCAAAAGAAAATTATGTTATATAGTATTATATAATTAAGGTCTCTTAATATTATGACTATGCATAAAGATACAAATATTGAAAATACCAGGAAACACATTCTTTCATTCCAGCTTCACTAATCAGAGTAGCTAAAAGAAATGATGAATTTATAATCTTACCCATGTCAGGTCTTTTCACATCACTGACTTCAGCACAGACACAAAGTCCTATAAAAGAAGACACAAAACAGGTACATTACATAGTGGAACACCTACTTCATATATTACAGAATAGGAAATCACTCAGAAGTGACATTTGCATTCTTAGTGTAGATAAATCTAAGGTGGTAAGGGCAGTTGACTTAATGGGGAAAAAAGTGAAAAATAAAGCTGGCCTGAGATACTTTTAAACATTTCTGCAAACTGCACTACACTAAACAGCAATTACAGACAACTCACAGAATCATAGACTATTAAAGCAGAAAGCAAGTTTGGAGTGCCAACCCTTAGGAGACTAAATAATTTTCAGAAAATCACAAAGTTAGTGACTACAATAAAATTACAACCTAGAAATTCTTCTCAATCCATTGCTTTTTCTATTACCTCATGCTAAACCATTTTATAAGTGACAGCTCTTGTGATGAGCCTATTAAGACTTCTCTTCCATACATCTTACTCAGTAGTTAAATACAAAGCTATTGATGTTTTTAGGACAATCATGAAATACTTTAGTTTTACAAAGTACTCCCCACCTCTACCCCCACCAGCCATCAAACTGCTAAAAACCAGGGTTGGGGATATAGCTCAGTGGCAAAGCATGCATGTTTGAGGACCTTGGTTCAATCCCCAACAACTCCCCATCCCCCCCCAAAAAAAAATCCTGCTAAGACCCAAAGGCCCTTTACCTGTACAGTAGTCTTCCCTTATCTGCATGAGCTATGTTCCAAGGCCCCCAAAGGATTCCTGAAACTGCAGACAGTATGGAACCCTGTACGTACTATGTTTTTCCCCCTATAATATATACCTAAAAAACTTAATTTATAAATTAGATATAGTAAGAGATTAACAATGCTAATAAAACAGAATAATTATAATAAAAGACGTATGAGTGAGACTATATAGTCTGTCTCAAAATATGAAAATTTTCACTTATTTTTTGAACCATAGTTGACTGTGCTATGACTGAAAATGCAGAAAATGAACCATAGATAAGAGACTTTCCTTACTTTCTTCTCTAATATATCCACTTATCCCAGAAAAAAGGGAAGTTAAGAGCCTGCTTGGAAGTAAACCAATCAACACAACCTTAGTACTTACGCTTTTTGGCAGATTTCCAAGAGGAAGAGACCAGGGATGGTAAACATCACACCTTTACTTATTCACAATCATATCACCACATTTTAAAAAAGATCAAGCATTTCATCCAGTGCATAGCAATACTAGGGTTCCAATGTATTCATGACACTGGATAATAACAGGCATTCTTTGTGGTCACAACAACAAAACACACACTACTTGAGTTTTTTTTTGGCACTGCCATAGACTAAGCAGAACAATTATCTGATTACCTAAGCTTGTCAGGGAGGATTCCCAAAGAGTTTAATCTTATATTTAGGCTTCAAATATATTTCTAAGTGCTCAACTTAGCAAAAGGCTTCTATCTGGAAATTCTCCAGGTTATTCTTCCCCTTCTTTCTTGAATAGGGTAGAATTCTTTAGATTCCAGATTAAGGGGAAACATCTTATCAACCAATTAGCAGGGCTTTTTTCACATTTCAGGTCACTTTCTAATCGCTGTCACTAGACTTTTGTTTCTTTCTTTGTATTAAGAAGAATGTTAATTCAAAAGTCTGGTGCCCAGTGGAACAATCACATGTCAACCTTCTTTGCATTTATCTGAGAGCAACGTGAAAAGGGAAACAAGCTAGAAATTCAAAGAATTTCAGAGATTATATTCAGAGAAGTTAAATGACTTGCATGAAATCACACAGATGGGGCGAAAGGAAGAACCCAGGTATACTGACTCCCCAGCAACACAATTTCAAATCAATTAACTCATCCTCAAAGATTCACAATGGCAACACAAAAATAATCTCTAATTAGTTCTAAGGAATCCATGCTGATTTATATTTAATTAAAATCTCACATTTATGTTTGTATTTGATACAAATACATCTAGCTTCTTCAGCATGCTTACAGTAGTTTCTTTCAGCAACTTTGCAATCACATTGGGAGATAGGATTTTTTTTTTAACCCCAAGATTCTGCATGAAATGCTGATCAATGAACCTTTGTGCCAGCAAATTCTTGCAAGAAAAACAACATTTAAAGAAAATTATTCTAATAAGTCATTCTTAGTATCCACTGGTCATTATTCAAAGAATGTATGCAGTTAGTTATTCACATGAATCGATTTAGTAGCAAAACACAAGTTAATAAGAAATCTGAAAGAGAAAGATAAAATCCTGACTATAACAGAAGTAAATGTGGTAACACAGTTATAAACTTACACGCTTGCAAAGACATCATTATAAGAGAGAATGTTTAGGACTATGACGAAGTTGAGACTATCCAGGACCAAGATGTGGTTATAATAATTTGAATATGAAGGGTATGGAACTGTTCATCCGAATTACCCTACCCTCAGCTCTAGAAAACAATTATATGCATGATAGTTTGTAGTAATATCATCATGTGTTCGGGGTTTTTTGCTCCCGTAGTATTTTTCATATGTACTGTCTCCCAATTAAGACTCTAAAACCTTAACATTCTACATCTTTAAATTTCTTTTAAATTTAATTTCTTTCCTACACATATATTTATTTTATATCTAATAAATGCAGAGTACTGAGGATACAAAGACGAGTAAAAGCTGGTCTTTGCCACGGAGCAGCTCATTATCTTGTAGGGGAAGCCAGACTCATAAACAGACACAGTACGACAGTAAAGCTGGTAAAACTGGTAGGAGATGTGGAAGTCAGTGGAAGAAAAGGACTTCCAAAGCAGTAGTAAAGAGTTACTTCATCTTAGCCACAAGTAGCAGAACCTGTTTTTATATCCCTCCAACTCCCTCGAGACTTAACTCATCAGATGCGTGATACAATGGTCTTTGCAGTTGGGATAATTAGCTGAAATCCGGTACAAATGAATGAAGCTTCCTAAAAAACTGGGGGGAGGGGAGAAAGAATCACTAATTATGAAGGTTAGGGGATCATGCTTATGGTTTCACTCTATCTTCAGCTTCGAAGTCAGTGTAATCTATATTTCAACATGAATTATCTTCATAAAGACTTAGGAGATGATGTGATCGACTCCATCCAAAATGTCCAAGAACAACAAAAACCCGAGTCAAATAGTTGGTAGCCTGTAACAGGCTTTGTATAAAATTTACAAGAATCACCACCACTCCAAATATCAAACACGAACTGAAATAATTTTAACAAGTCTGACTTGAAAGTGATAAAAAAAAAAGTTATTGGCAACAAGATAGTACAAATACCGCGAAGGCACTGATAAACAGAAATCACCAAGCTCAAGACAAGAGAAACCGTGCGTATAACCTAGAGATCACGTTAGGGTCTAGCAAGAAACAGACGGTTCAAGGGAATTACCAGGAGGCGATGAGCCAGGTAAGCGAGCTGTGGCAGGCAAGGGGGATTTCATAACCTGGGCAGGAGGGTCCAGACGTTTCTTTCTGGTGGTGGCACTAGCGATAGCACATCTCAGGGAGATACCACAGAGTACAAGAGTTGGAAAACTGTTTACGTGAGACGCAGAAGTAGGCGAGAAATATCATTCAGGTCTCAGGGAAGGCGAGAGGTGAAGCAGGTGTGATAGAACGCCGGGCTTCCCAATGAAAAGGGCTCTCCCTTGAGAGAGGACCCTGCTCTGGCGGGAAAGTCCCGGAATCCCAACCAACCTTTTTCCCCCGTGGAAAAGTAAAACTAGGCGCTGAGATGGGGCCTGCTGCGATGGCAGCGAGACGACCTCAAAGCTGCTCGGGAGAAGAAGGCCTGACGGAACGGCCTCGGGAAGCCTAGCTAACGGCCACTGGCCAGACAGCGGCCGCAGGACAGCAGGGGGGAGGGGAAGTGGTCCCGGGGGGCGGGGCAGAGGAAAAAGCGCCGTCCCCACAGCGGTCTTGGCTTCCGCCCAGCCCAGCACAGGCCGACGGGCCCGGTCCGACCCGGTCTCCCGGCCCAGTCTCCCTCCATCCTCACCCCTCCCCCAGCTTCCCGCCGCCACTCACCGAACCGGAACCGGCTGCTATGCAAAGGGGTTTCCGGCCGGGCGCGGGACGCAAAACCCGGGAACCGCCACGAACCGGAACCTCCCTCACAACACCGGAAGAGAGCTCGGTGGCGGCCGAAGAGGGGGGGTGGGGCAGGAGGTCAAAGAGCAGAGTTAAGGAACGCCTGCGCGTTGTGGCGGGGCCTGAGAAGCCGAAGGGGTCGTTTAAGGCTGTAGTCTTAAATTTCCGTGTTACCCTTTCAGTCTGAGCTTTTTCTCTTTTGAGTACTTGAAATACCATTAGTGCTCCCTTCGGTCCTTTGCTTTTATATGTTCCCTCTGCTCCCTTACCCGTAGTCATCTGGTTCCGCACAGCGATTTTTTTTTTTTTTTTTTCCATACTCTTAGGTTTCCATGGTAGCTTTTTGAACTGGACTTAGATGTTTGGGAACCTGTGGCTTCCCTAACAGAGGGAGACTTGAGAGCTAAGTCTATATCAAACTATATAATGACTTATTGAGAATCACAGAATGTTAGTGCTTGTAAAAGTTTTTGGAGATATTTTAGCCTAACAGGTTCAGAGAAATGAAATCATTTCTCAGAGTTATAAAGTGCATGCTTGACTGACCATTTGTCAAAAAGAAAAAGTAGACAAAAGCAAAGAAAAAGGAAAAAGATAAAAAGTAACTTGGGGACAGCTTAGGTTAGACCCTGACAACATGTAGAACCTTCCGTAACTGGAGTTTGAAACAGGCAGTGATCTCTGCTGGGCCCAGCACAGACCTACTTTTCTGAGATAGGGAAGGATCCAGGAGTCTGATCTCTGAAGGGCCCCTTTGCATTGTTCCTGTGATCACAGTAATTAACCTGTAATCTATGCCAGGCTTTTTAAGAGAAAGTAGTGAAATGTGTTTGTGCATTTAGACTATTTGCCAAGCCCCTTAACATAGCTGGCCTCTAGTCCAGGCTCTGTGTAAATGTCTTGGAGAAATTCTTCCAACTAGCACTCTATCCTCAGATGACAGCCACATTCTCAGCTCAGTCTTGAAGAAGGAAAGCCTCAGAATTTCCCCAGCTTTTTCCACACTCTTAGTAGCTGGGAAAGGGGGGAGGGGAAGGTAAAGCTTGCTTAGTTCAAGGGTTCTGCCCTCAAATGTATATAGATTATTTGTATCACTTCATATGAAATTTTTATGTTGTCAAGTCCTAAGACCTAGTAGTAATGAGCATACTTAGTCCACATCAGTCATTGACACCTCAGTCATTCTACAGATCAATTCACTTGGATTAAACTCTGTCTTTATTTCTAGGAAATAGCCATGAGTAGAGAGGAATTTCATCTGAAATCTTTCATGTGTGTGATTCAATTTCGCCAATTAGTCAGGATCCGTCGGACAACAGGTACCATTGTCTCCTGATCAACAGTGATAGGGAATGGGTTCTCTCACAGGGAACCCCAATACAGAATGTGAATTTCTAGTGTAATTGCAGACTTAAGGAGCCAGGTAACCTTGTTTATTCCATTCCCACTTTGATAAGATGTTTGTCACTGAGTCATGTCTTTTTCTTGGACAGGTGTAGGTGAGATACTGGCCTGACATGTGGGGATAGGAACCAGGCAGATAAGGAGGACTTCAGAGTTGAAAAGAAAAAATATTTATAGCCCATGAGATGGTCACTGATTTCTATGTCCTTTGTGAATTATGCCAACTTGTCTCACCTTCTCTGTGGGAGTTCTTGTTATCATTGTAATTGACACTCCAAAACATGTAAGATAAATGGCCTTCTCTTCCACCTTAGCTTTGAAATATGTAGTAAGGCATTCTGCTTTGCCTCTGTTTATGTCAAAGGAATAAAATATTTTTGAGGTAAAATAGTTGTTGAGAACAGTCATAACTTCTCTAAATGTTTCATTGTATTTGTGGAAAGAAAGCTCTGGGCAGCTGGGAGACATAGGGAAAATGAAAGGGAGTAAGGAACACTCCTTCTCTTAATCCCACCTTGCGGGTGACCTAGCACTATTGCTTTGTAGCTGGGGAAGCTTCAACTTCCAACATGCTCATACCAAAGCCACGACCAAGGACAGATTGTTTGAAGAGTCTAGAAACTGTGGATGATCCAGGCACCGTGGAAAGCATACCTATTTTCAAAACTGGTGAGGCATGTGGGTAAACAAGGGGGAGGAGTATGAAGTATTGGAAAGTGAAAAGTTTATACATAGTGTTATAAATTGGGGTAGACTTACCAAACTTGAAATGTGAGTTAAGACACAAAGAAAAATGCATGTGTGTTTGTGCTTGTGTGCTTGTGTATGAGAGCGAGCAGCAGAGAGAGTGAGAAAGGAGAGAGTGAGAGAGAGAAAAGAGTAAATCATAAATAATCTGGGAAATTATAGAAATAATACTTCTATGAAGATTAATTTGACTAACTCAATATTTGCATTAGACAGTTCTTCTATTGCTATAACAAAATACTTAAGACTGCATAATGTATAAATAAAAAAGGTTTATTTAATTCTCAGTTTGGGAGGCTGAAATCCCAAGATTGGGTAGCTCCATATGTTAGACCTTTGGTGATGGTTCCCTTGACTATGTCATATGTTGGCAGATGACATTATGGCAGGAACATATGTGTGAGAGAGAGATCACATGGAAAACAGGAAGCTAGATAATGGGGAAGATCCAGTCTGGCTATTTTATAACAGCCCTCTCTCAGAGGAACTAACTGGGGTCCCACAGGAGCTACATTAATTCCTTCCCAGATCAGTGCCTCCAATGATCTAATCACTGCACTCTTAAACCTTCCACCACCTCTTAATGTTGCGACATGAACCCTTGAGGGACACACTCAAACTCAAAATAGCAGTATTAAATCATTTGGCTCCCTCATTAGTATGAGCTACTAATCTGGCTTATCCTATTGTCAGCAACTGTGATATATAAAAATGTGGAACTTAAAAATGTATTAAAGAATGTACTTTTACAAAGTGATTCTAAATACTGTAAAAACTTAAAGAATCCATTTAATAGCAAATTTCTCTTGTGTACTTTAGGTAATGTTCAATTCACAGGTAATTTATGTAAAGTCTCAGAAACACATCTATATGTTTCTTCTCAACTTAAATAGATCTGGACTTTGAGCACATGATAAAAGTTTTAGCACACAAGGGAAGGGTGAGGATAGGTAAGACACCTAAAAAATTAGCTAACATTTGTTGCTCTTAACGCAGAGAAACTAAAGCAGATACTGTAAAAGCAACTGAGGCCAATAGGAAAAGGGGACCAGGAACTAGAGAAAAGGTTAGATCAAAAAGAATTAACCTAGAAGGTAACACACATGCACAGGAAATTAATGTGAGTCAACTCCCTGTTTGGCTATCCTTATCTCAACCAGCAAAAACACTTGTTCCTTCCTATTATTGCTTATATTCTCTCTTCAACAAAATTAGAGATAAGGGCAAAATAGTTTCTGCTGGGTATTGAGGGGGTGGGGGGCAGAAGAAGGGGGTGGAGTGGGTGGTAAAGGAGGGGGTGGGGGCAGGGTGGAGAAATGACCCAAGCCTTTTATGCACGTATGAATAATAAAACAACAACAAAAAAAACAAATAGATCTGTATTGGACTCAGCTCACTGAAAATACTCAGGTTACCACTGTGTGCTCAGTAATATACTATAAATGATAAGAAGGTTTTCAAACTTATTGTGTTAGTCAGTTTTTCATTGCTGTGACAAAACACCTGCCATGAACTTAGAGGAGGAGAGATTTATTTTTTGCTTCCTGTTTCAGACCATCATGGTGGGAAGGTTGTGGTGATACAGAGCAGCTCACATCATGGTGGACAGGAATCAGAGAGATGGAATGCCTGTACTCCTAGGCTCTCTCCTTTTTCCCTTTATTCCACCTGGACCCCCCAACCTATAGAACAGTGCTGCCCCATTCAGGGCAGATCTCCCCACTCTTAGTTAATCCTTTCTAGAAATGCCTCCATAGACATACCCAGAAGTGTGGTTTACTAATCTCCTAGGCACTTCTCAATCCAATCAAGTTGATCCTTAAGGTTAACCCACACATATGTATAAGACATATGTGTATGTCTTACACACATATGTATTATTGTCCCAATAGTTACAGTTTGGAAATACCTTAGAAAGTACTTATTCCAACTCCCTTGTATTTTCAGAAGGAATTCAGGACTAAGATGGTTTTCTCAAGAATTTAATGATTTAATTAATTACTCCCAGCACCCATGAAATAAATAGCAGTAATTATTTGTAGTTTTTGAGCATTTACTCTTTAATGTCATTGTATTAACACAGTAGGAGATGAGAAAATGAACTACACTTTTTCTGTTCCCCAGGAACTGATGATCAAGGAGAGGCAACAATATGAGATAGTATGTAAGTTAAGAGCTTGATAACTTTGATTTGAAATATTGGATTTTAAAAGATGCCATAGAGATTTTAGAGCTGGGAGGGGCCCATTGAGTATTTCGAGAGTTTCACAGCTTAAGGATAGAAGCAGTCACTATGGTCCTACATAATCACTTACTTAGTATATCCATACTCACAAGGAAATGGCTTATATACAAGAAAACAAGTTTATTGGATATTCAAGAAATCTCTATCTATATATGGCAACTGGGGTGCTTTGTGTCCCTTTAAACTGACTTGCTTTGCCTATGCATAGGAAGCAGCCAGGAACAAGAAAAAACCCCAACAGGGGTCTTTGTTCTAAATTTATACAGATTATTTCCTGTTTACCTGCTTCCCACTTCTTTCCCTTTTCTTTGCTGCTTTTCCCATTCTCATTTTGCTCTATACCTAATATTCACCTCAGACTCTTTGCCCTGATGACCCATTTGGATCTACTTCTGTGATATGAACTCACCATTATCCCATGGACAAAATTCTGATGTTCACCTTCTGCCTTTAAACACTGGGGTCTCAGGTAAGAGCCACTCTTAAACTTTCCAGTTTTTCCACTAGGCAAAGGA